CAGTTCGGTACTATTTTCTTTGTTTCTAATGAAATGTTCCCGTTTCTTAATACTTTGCTTAGCTTTTGGAAAGCATCTTTCGCTATCCCAACTCACGATCGGATTTCAGTACTTCATTTTCTTTTCGATAGTTTCGGAAATACCTTTTTTTTCCGCTATTCTGATAAACCTTCGATTGTTACAGTTCCCTCACCTGTCAGTGTAACACCTATGTACTTAAATTTCTGTCGTTACTTTATACTGATCATTCCAATTCGAAGTACACGCCTTTGGCTGTAGCTCTTGTTAATAGTGGTGCAGTTCAATTTATATTACAATGAATCATTCATACCAAAAGTAGATTAGTAAAGTTAATGATATAAAATGGCGAAATCCCTTCGCAAACAAAATTTTAAAGGTGCATTAACCTACAAATCACTCGATGAATAATATGATCCTTGTTTTTTAAAATTATAAGCTGTATAAGGTCTTTCTTTAATACACAAATACTTTCAACTGTACATTCAGTCATCTTCAGGCATGGAAATTATTTTTTTTTTGGTAAATTCAGGTAGCATTCGAGACGAAAAAAAATAAATGCGCATCGGAATATGTTTTTTTTTAAATGTGTTATTGTTAACGGGTACAAACTTTTGGAGCGCACAGCCGCAACGCTAAGGTTGAATTTTTAAAAAAATTTAGTTCATGCTACATGGACTGATAAACTCCTACAAAAAAAAAAAAATCTTAAATTGCTATATTAGTAAAAAAAAAAGAAAAAAAGTACTATGTTAAATTTTCAAAATATTCAACCTTAGCAACTGCACGCTCCAAAAACTTTGTATCAGTTAATAATAAGACATTTTAAAAAAAATCATATTTTGATTCGCATTTAATTTTTTCGTCTCGGATACGACCTGTATTTTACCAAACACAAAACAATTTCCACACCTGAAGATGAATGAATGTATTGTCGAAAGTACTTGCGTATTAAGGAAATACTTTATACAGCTTATAATTTTAAAAAAAAGGGTCATAACATTCATCGAGTGGTTCGTAGGTAAATGCACCTATATTTTTTTTGTGAAGGGATTTCGCCATTTTATATCATTAAGTTTACTAATCTACTTTTTGTATGAATAATTCATTGCAATATATTTATATATATTTCTACAGGTTAATTGTGAGAATGTTTGCATATATATATATATATATATATATATATATATATATATATATTGGATTGATGTGACTTTGTGATCCTAGGTTTCACGCTATTTGTCTGACTCTCACAAATAGCATGACACCCAGGGTCACAAATTCACATCAATCCAACGAAATATGTTAGCTCTATCGCTGATATTGAGCGCTTTCCAATAAGTACCGGGCATATATAATATATAAATAATATATATAAAAATTGCATATATATATATATATATATATATATATATATATATATATATATATATATATATATAAATTAAAAAAAACAGACCACTTTAAGGTTCCATGTAATAAATTATTTCACCACAGCCCTTTTAAAGTATTGCGGATCATCAGACTTTACTTCCAAAGGTTGAAACAAAAATGAAAAGAAATTTACACATTTTTGACGGGCCGTATTAAACATGTGTAAATTAACGAAGTGAGGAAGTGAGGGGGGGGGGAGAGAAGACATGAGTGAGTTAGATGTAATTTAAAATTTCTATTTTTTTATACTTAAAAATACTTGATGTCCAAACATTGACACATTTAAACGGTTTATATATATATATATATATATATATATATATATATATATATATATATTTTCATTTCACATGTGTGTGTCTGTGTGGATTTATAGAAATGATGGTCGGATGGTCGTTAATGAATATACTAGAAGTAAGGTCGATAAACTTAGAAAAATAATACATTCGGCGCTTAAATCGTTTGATCTCAACGTAGTTATCAATGCTAATATTAAACAAGTTGATTTCCTAGATATTACATTTAATTTACCGATGAATAATTTTCAACCATACATAAAAAATAACGTTAACCCAGTGTATATCCATCCTAGCGCCAATCACTCAACGTCCGTGTAATCAAACATATTCCATCATTAGTAGAATGACGAATCAACCAACACTCCTCTAGCAAAGAAATATTTGAAAAACATAACACTGTCTATGATAAAATTTTTAAGGATAGTGAATTTAAATCTTCAAAAATTGAATTTGTGGAATACTATGATCTTTCCAAGAAGATAAACAGAAAAAAAGGAAGATCATATGGTATACTCATCCATACAATCAATTAGTGCACACTAAATTAAGACATAAATTCTTAGAATTAGCTGAAAAAAATTTTTCCCTAAAAAGAGTTTGCTGAGGAAAGTTTTCAACCGTAACACTCTAAAACTTAGCTACAGTTGCACAAATAATTCAGAAAAAATAATTAAATCACATAACGCTAAAATATTAAAAAATATATAACAATAGTAAAGGGTATACTAGATCTGATCCTACTGGGTCTCTTACAAATAACCAATGTAATTTAAAAAAAAACAAACAGTGCCGGTTATCTAACAAGTGTTTAACAAAATCCATAGTATACGGGTGTACTGTTACATCGGTTGAAAACCCTAGGACTTCTGAACGCTTTTACATCGGAAATACAATGAATGATTTTAAAAATCGCTTTTATAATCATATCTCATCTTTTAATAACGCTGATGAACGAAACATGACTTCACTTTCTAAGTATTTTGGGGAATTAAATGACAAAAATAAAACACTTAAAGTTAAATGGAAAATCCTAAACCAAGCTAGAATTTCGAGGTCTCTAAACGAACCGTGCTTTCTCTGCTCGAACAACGACAATCTGTTGAATCGGAGATATGAAACGGCAATAAATTGTAAACATACAAGTGAATTAACCTTACACTCTTGTTAAAGAAGTTTCTAACCTTCGAACGAATCCGCTTATGGCTATAAACACAGCACCGTACCCTACGCCAATATACCCTAGTTGCACTTGTATTATATATTTCGTTTTAATTTTACTTTGAAATTTAACCCTGGACTTAAGATATATTCTAATTTATGCTTACTTCTGTAAGTTAACCGTAATATATGATAATTTTATTTTGGGTACTTTTATTATTTATCCATTATTTGCTATAAACATTGTTACTTAACCTCTTTAATAATACTTTATAATTAATATTAATAAATTAACGTAATAAT